CCAATTAAGGGCAGCGGGCCAATCAGACCCCGATATAGATCGTATTCACGTCCAAAGGAGCAAGTAAAGTGTTGTCAAGGTTATGGCACTCGGATACTTCGATAGCTGCCGTCGGCTTGAAATTCTTACAGCAAATCTCTAGGGAAGCACGCCGGATTGAAGCTACTAGTTGAGAGTAGTTGGTGGTCCTGCTCGCTCTACCGTGTTTTTGATGTCCTCAATGATCGTAGCTGAAGGAATATTAAAGTTACCAGGAAGGGCACTCGTCACTGGCGATTTCAGCTGTGGAGATTCGAGTTATCGGTAAGTGCTACAATGAGCATATATATAAGGTTGCGGGTGTATTTTCCGTAGTATTTAATACGCTTTCTTACTGCTGATGTACTTAGAGAAAGCATCAATACTCTTTCTACCTCTTTCAGCATCGGCTTTGTCAAGCGCACTCTCGACAGATTGCCCTCGAGTCACCAAAGAGCGTACGTACTTGATAACGTGAGAAAAACTTCGCTTCTTATGAAGATAGACGTCAATTTCTCCCATATTGTTTTTCTAATTGTTCAATGGAGGGTTGGTTTGATGGGCCTTCGTACCATTCGGCACAAGCTCACGGACAGTAGCAATTTCGTGTAATTGGGTGCGTGTAGTGTTGGCTGCTATTTCCAGCTTGGTTTCACCTCAGCTGCTCGACGTGTCACCCGAATGTGTTGTCAGCTGCAGCGCTGCAGGCAATGGGTGACAACCAAGGAGTGTCTGACGATAGACAGCTGAGGACTCTGCAGTCATTTGGACGGCCAGTGTCCTCATGCGCTGTATGAGGAACTTGTATGGTCAAGTGCATTTTTTCATGTGAAGTGAATACATGCATGTCCACAGTCAGTGCTGCCTGTCGCTCTGGCAATGAGTGGCTGGCAGTGACTGAGCGAGAACGGGCTGGTCAGCGCCAGACCTATGGTATCGCTCACTTCTAGATTTACGAAGTGCAAACTACATCAATACATTCGGCTAACATTCCGTGTGGGTTGGCCCCGCATTGTCGTGTGTTTAAGTTGCTTCAAATTACCCGGGCCATACTACAGTGCGTTACTGTTGTTGTCTGATTCTAATTGCACTTCGTTTGTAGCTCTAATTGGCGATGGTGCCTCATTATTTGCCGACATAGTGACATCTCTTGTTGTGCCTGTACTCGCTGTAGGCTGTAATCGAAAAACCATATCTCCTTTTAAGAACGATATGATGTTTTCATTGGTTTCCTTCACCAACTTCAGTACTTCAGCTTGGCAAAATTCTAAAAAAAATTTATCACTTCTGAATGTTGAGCAGCAATCCGTTCGGACAGTAATGGCATAGCAACTTGAAGTTTCATTTCAACTGGGCTTTGAGCGCTTGTTGATGCTGCCAATGCTTCCGTACGAAAATGTTGGAAAGCGTCACCAAAGAGTGCATGCTGACGTATAGAATCTGGAAGGATGTCAAACAATACTGCGCAATCTTGAAGAAGCACAATGCGGAGGTAGTGAAGCAATTCAAGGAACCCACTTGCTGCTAAGTTCTTTTCCCAGACGCCATCGGGAATTTGTTTTGGCGATGCTCAGTGCTCGGAAAGATGACTCTCTGAAATTCTTGCGGCGGATCAATGGTTGCACGTTCAAGATAATATAGGCGAGAACGAACACGATGCCCAGAGAGTGCGCGCATGGCTTCTCTAACCACAGGTGCAGAATAGATTGCCCCTTCGCATGAATTCATTCCCCATTTTCCGTGCCTACGAGTTTGAAAAATGTCAACTTCCCCACTCTACAGTTGGCGTACGCCTTGCTGCCGGTTTATACGAGTTTTTATAATTGAAAGATAGACCGAGACGCTTGAACACAGCTTCATAACCGTTCTTGTGTGCTGGATACGTGATTGATTTTGTACAATGTTGATCGCGTAAGAACTTGATATCGTACGAGTCGTTTGCTCGCTTGAACGTGGGGAAGGTGGAACAGCTAAACAAAATAAAGAGCGGCGGCTCTAATAGGGCAGACGTGCACGGTTTTGTTGCGCATGTACCACACATGCTGCATCTTTCCATAAGTGTTTGTATTTTCATGCTGAATTAGCGGCTGTACAAGGCTGAAACCCGTCTCTATCAAACGGTTGAGAAAACATGTCGGCAAACTCCAACTCGCATATATTCTCACCTCGCAACAGGCCAAAATGAGACAAAAGGCACGGCCCCGTAAGACGTCAAGCGTAAAAAAAAAAGGTATCGCTGATCTGCTGAAATTGCTCGTTAGACGACTAACCATTTAGTAAGGAGCCAATACCTAAATGTCCTGACAATTTTTCTTTCTGGTTTAGGTTGTTTGAGCTTGTGCGTTTTGATTAGCTGATCCACTGCTGTTGTGCGAGGATGAGGATTGGAATTTGTTCGTAAAGTGACCTGTCGACTGTACAAGTCAATAAGCGCGTTGACGTAGCTACAGATAGTAGAACCACCAGCTTTTCTCGCTGTTCTTCTTTGATTTTTTGCCAATTACCTAGGTAGAAAGAGAAACAAATGGAGTTTGCCTCCTGTTACTGTGTCACGATCGCGGAAATTGCGTGCGGAGCACCATTTCACAAACTCTGTCTGGTAACCAACGCATTTCCTATGAGTGTTTATAGGTTGTGATGTCAAAGTAGTCTGTATCGTTACTCGCTCGCTCTCCTCGATTTCATTTTGTATTTCACAGTCTTGTGTAGCGTGAGGTGCAACTTCCGCTTCTACCACACAGCTAGGCACCGCTGCAGCGTATGCTCGAATTGAAAGTCCCGATCGACTCTCCTTACTATAGGTCTGGTTCGGCGTCTGTTGCACAAGTTTTATCTTTGCCAAATGGCAAGCATTACAATTATGATCTGGACCCACACTATGAATAGTCTGATACTCATTGAGTCGACAGCCCAACCAATGTTATCACAGCTCGTTTTAAACTTAAACATGTTATAATAAATAGCAGTAAACGTGTACAAATTTAATTATCCTCTGTAAACTTATGCAAGCTCAACTAGCATTTGTGGCTCCCGCTACGCGGGCGCGTGGTCTTATAAAATACGACTAAGCTAAATCGTAGTATTAGTTAGGTAAAAAATGGTAAAATCATCAGTTAGATCACATTTAGCAGAAAATGAATAATTTGTTATTAAATCCCCGTGTATTACAGAGTTATCTACAGGAAAATATCTCTGTACACAATGTTTTTGGTGTACGCCGCGCCATCAACAAAGTCTCTCGGATCAATGGCTATCTTGATCGCCTTTCTGGATTTTACTCGAGATAGGGCAACGTATAGCTGTCCGTGTGCGAACACAGGTGATTTCAGGTAGATACCTACGTGGTGAATTGACTGACCTTGCGCCTTGTTAATCGTCATCGTAAACGCTGGTACTACCGGGAATTGCTTGCGTCGAACGATAAACGGAAATTCTTTATGCTCGTCATCGCTCAGAAACACGATACGATACGAGGGATAAACACGCGTTGTCCACGTCGAGGGCCAGACATTATAGTCGCGTCAATGCATTTCTCTCGTAAAGATACCACTCGCAGACGCGTTCCGTTGCACAAACCTTCGTCGCTATTTAGATTTCGAATCATAATGATAGAAGTGCCAACTTTGAGAACCATCTTGTGAGGGAGCATTTCTGAGAAATTGAGTGAGTTCAAAACCTCAGTCTCGAATAGGTTCTGATCTCCGGGACCGTCGAAGCTGTCGTTGGAGAGATATTCTCGTGTCTCTCCAGACAATCGCTCAGCTACCATTTCGTTGATCCGACGAACGCTTGCATTGGTTGGCGCCAAATTTGCACGGTCCACAAAGTACTGATCTGGCAAGTCAGCATCACCCACCCCGGGGTAAATCGCCCCGATCGGTGCGTTGATACTGCGAGCGCGCTGATCATCTTCAGGCTCGTCCGATTAGCGTTCACCTTCAGGATCCAATGGTGGAAGCAAATTGAAATTCGGGGATTCGTACTCTGAATCATCATCAGAGGAATCTTGAATTGAAGTCGAGGAAACACCGGAGACTGGAGTAACGCGCATGCTGTGCGGGATACAGATGTCGTTGTCGTCAATATCGCGATTCACCGGGTAGCGACCCTCTCCAAGTTGAAGTAAGAACTCCAAGAATTTGGCCAACTCCGCAGCATCATCTGGATCAAGCGCCGTTTTCACACGCATATTCTCTATCAAACGCACCTGGCGTAGGTGCTAACATAAGGGAGACGCTTTAAAACACACCTTTAGCGTTTCAGCTCTGGTAGCATCCTTTACGACCGGTAGGATTTGACGATGGTCACCACTCAAAACCATAACCTTCCCCCCAAACGGCTCGACTTCATTATTCGTGATGTCGGGAAAAGTTCGATCAACAGCTTCAAAACACGCTCGATGCATCATCGATGCCTCATCCCAAATAATCAAACTGGCCAGGCGTATCAATTCCGCTTGTGGCTCTGTTTCGGAATATTACACGTCGAATGGTCATCTAGTTTCAGTAGAATCCGAAATGTAGAATGTGCCGTATGACCCTCTGTCAGCAATGTTGCTGCAATTCCACTGGAAGCAACTGTCACAGCAACCCTTCCATTCAGACGTACCCTGGCAAGGATTTGTTCGAGCAAGAAGGATTTACCGGTCTGGTCCGTCAATAAAAAAATAGTTTCCGGCCGACTTGGGGAGACTGTACTGCGCCCATCACTTGGTCAAAAACATCCTTTGGTTTTCATTCAACTTGTCTACAACCGCAGTTGTACTCTCCAACTGTTCCAATGGATACGCGTTGAGTTCTTGACAAACCAAATCTCCTCCGAGATGTCCATCCACAGCATCTTGCTCGTAGTTCTCGAGCAGGGGAAGTGGCTAACGTTTTCCCGTTAGCGCGAAGGATCTTATCCACGCTTTGGAGCGTTCTGTACTCCACGCGCTGGTCATCCATGTCGGCACCAAGATTTCTTTGAAAATCTTCGCTTAGGTCGTGCTTAAAACGTTCCCACAACCCCACAGGACTATTCGGTAGAGAGTACACCAGAATAATTGCAAAAAGCTGACGGAGTTGGTAAGGCATCCGGTCATGTGCCGCTTCAGTCAGGCATTCTTCCTATTCACGGTCATTATCTAAATATCCAGCCGCCAGTGCAGCCTCATGAAAGGTTCTGTACATGATCCCGACAATAGTTCTTAGATTTTCAAAGGCGTTGGTCCACGTCTGTAGCACAGCAGAAGGCGCAAATAGGCTCCGAAGCGCTAGAGGGGTGGCGAGGAAAAGATAGTTTAAAAGTACATAATATTAATTAACACATACATGATTAAGCCTCGCAGTCCTTGTCGCCGCCGCTAACTGCTTGCCGTCCCGCCGTCCGCGCGCTTTCCGAAATGACGTATGCAAAAGATTCGGACATCGTACTTATGTCAAAATATATTTTTAACCAATGATTTTTTTGTAGCAAGGTGGCGCGGACGGACGGACGGTAAGAGGCTGTTCGGGGAACAGTGGTTTTATTTTGTAGTGGCTTTCTTTTCAACTATCGATTGATCGGATTGGTCGGACACGATTCTTTACCGATTTGCAACAAAACACCCTGAAGAAGGTGTTTTGTTGTCAAGGCCACCGATTTTGGCTGGCCCACCACCACCAACCCGTCAATGGAGCACCGTGAGCTCCTGGTCGCGCTATCTACAGCCACAGCTGCTGCTGCACAAGCTGCTGCCACGGCCCAACGAGCACCCCCGCAAAACATTCTAACGCTCCACAACATCGACTTTGACATGATGCTCGCTCAAGACGAGTATGACGCTTGGTTTCGTCGTCATCTTCGCTGTAGCCAAGCGTCATTTCGAGCCATCTGCTCCATTCTTCGTGGCGTTTTACAAGGTTACACTGTCGACGCATACAACAAACTACACGGATTCGAGAAGAAGGTCGCTATGCTGCTACATTTTCTGGCAACTGGAACGGGCTACAGAGGTACTGCGCTTGCGCTGGGCGTATCACCCTCTTGGGCAAGTGAAGTGATCGGTCTTTTGTGCAAGGAGATTCGGAAGGCGCGCAAGACCTTCATACACCTCCCGCGCACTGCAGCTCAGTGGAAAGATGTTGAGCGTGGTTTCCGCGCGACGAGAGGGTTTTCAGGCGTCGTCGGTGCGGTTGACGGCTCTGTCTTTGTGATTAATAGGCCTGCTGACTAAGAAGGATTCTACTGTAGGAAATTCTATTCTGCACTCAACATGCAAGCAGTAGTTGATCACAGGTGTGTCTTTATGAGCATTGATACCCACCCGGGCTCATGGTCCGATCAAAAAATTTGGAATGCGAGTCGTCTCGGAAAGACGCTGGACAAAATAATTCCGCCGGGTATACACATGATCGCGGACGCAGGGTACGCAATTCGGCCTTGGCTTATGAGGCCGTATCCCGAGACAAAAAAAAATGATGGTGCCTATCGAGACACCAAGACACGCAGATTTAATTTTGCTCATTCCAGTACTAGAATGGTGGTGGAGCGCGCTTTCGGGGTGGCAAAGGAACGCTTCCGTGTGTTGAAGATGTGCATTGACGTTGACGATGTGGGTAGAGCTGTCGACATTATAGCTGCTTCTATAGCATTGCACAACATTTGGATTGCTTTGGGAGATGACGAAATTGATTTCGACGTGCCTATAGTACCCGATGAGTGCAGAGAAGATGAAAATGTGTGCGTCTTACCAGTCATTAGAGAGATTGCCATTAACAAGCGCGACGACATCGCTCGTTATCTATTCTAGCCTAGTTGTCCTTGTTTTTCAAGAATTGAAGCAGTGCTTGAATAGAATTCGTTTGTTCACGAATCGCGTTCAACATTTCGTTTGTCTTGTTCTGCTCAGTAGTGCTGGAAGTTATGCGCTCACCGATGGCACGCAAACCATCACTGACGGCCACTAGCTCTCGCTCAATATGTTCTCCTTGGCTTGCTTTGCTTCGCTTCGTGTTCTCTGCGCGAGCCGTGGACAATGCTCTCTTGACAGACGGTGTGGTAGCGTCTTCTACGCTTTCCAGCGGCCTGCTGTCCTCAACTGCCTCTGCATCAGAAGACACCGGGCTCAGCGGCGCCGGCAGGAGCTGCTCGTCTGCGCTTCCAGAGCCATCATCCTCCTGTGCCAGCCCCTGCGAAGCCGTGGTGTCAGGCTCATCCGTGCTGAGCAGAGACACGTTTCCCATGCCAGCTAAGTCGCCCTAGTACTCGGTCATCACGTCCATGCGCTTGGGCGCGCGGGGTGCAGGTCGATTTCTAGTCTCCATTGCACGTCGGCGAGTCGCCGTCCAGCGCGTCCGCATCTAGACAAGAGCAAGAGCACACGTTAGTAAACACAACAATGACATCTAGCCGCACTTAGCTTACCTTAGCTCGGCACTGCGTCGCCGTGAACACCTTCACCCTGTTGACACACAGCTGAATCGCTACCAGCGACCAGGCTTCGTTGACTTGCTTTGAGGTCTTTGCTCCTTCAAACCACGCGGCCATCGTCTTGTACCTGAGCTCGAAGAGCACACGCACGTCTTCGTCATTCCAGGATGCAGCCACCGAATCAACGTCTTGATTTCGTGGCCGCCCTCGACCACGAGTAGCTCGGGTGCTTGGTGGCGACGCCATGGCAGTGGCGCTGGCATCTCTTTGACTGGAGAGAAAACAAAAGTCAATGTGAGGAAATGACTGATTTTGATTGAGAGCTCTCCGGGCCATCGCTTTTTGCGGTGGTTTTATGCGAAAACCAGTGATTATTTCCCCGAGCAGCCTCTAACGTTACGATTTTTAAAGACCGGGATTGTGACTCACAGTTAATTTCGATTTGAGCTAGCATAATTTACAGAGATTTAGTTTAATTTGTATACGTTTACATTATCAATCATTTGCAACCAAGGTTGTATTTCTAAAAAAAAATCCCGGTCCCTGATTGGCTGCATGCTGCGTGTCGACCACAATTATGCCTTACACAGTGCCGAAAAGGAGGGGTGGCGTTTGCAACTTGAGTTGCACACACGGTGGCAGGTTTTGGTCGGCTTTGCAACCCTTTCAAATACAAAAATCAAGTCTTGGTTGCAAACGTACTTAGTAGAGATCTCACTATATAAACGTCAAGTGAGGTTGCAAAACGAAACGAACACCACAACGACGGATCCCAGCTGAACCTCGTTGTAATTGACAGTTGTGGAAATCCCGACCAAGCTAATAATTTAGCTGCAAGCCCCTCACAGAACGTGTATCCCGGTAGCGCTTTAGGCGGTGAAGGTAGTCGCCGCGAGTTTGCAGCACTTCACTCGCAGATTGGAGCTGGGCGTCATCATACTACCGAAGTGCTGAACGAAGTCCTGCGTTTACGGCGGGAGAGCCAACGAGAGCTGCAGAACATTCAGGCCATACTTAAGCGAATTGCAATGCGGCCAGCGTTCCGCCGTAACGTTATTACGCAGGATATTGCTGCAACGCCACCTAATCCGTCGACTCACCAAGCATCTACGGCTGTACTTTTAAAGCGACCTAAGGATCTGTTTGAGCTCTGGCACGAATACCAGATCGGGTGCGGGGATCTGAAAGCAGCAAAAGACGTCACGGCAATCGAGCGTGGTACGAACAAGTTCGCTTTCTCTAGACGAAAAGTTTCTGGGATGTAGTCCCTAGCTTGGTGCGCTCAGGTTTTACCAGCGATGCAGCGAAAGGCAAGGTATATTCAGTTTATGGTAGGCAACCCTCAGTGCCAAGCATCTTGGTAGCTCTCCGTGCGGATCGTAAGAACAGTGGACATCCTAGACTGCGTGTGTAGTTATCGTTTAGTACACTTCAACACTGTCAACTTCACCAGCTTAAGTATTAACCAATCAAAACACGGTTGCATACCCAGTTGCACAAACGGCCAATATTTCTACAGTAATTCGGGTGCGGCCATAATAAATTATTTTTTGAATTGTCAGTATTTATTTCCGACCTCTCACTTGCAGCAAAGCAAAAATAAAATTATCACGACTCTGTGTGCAATGTTCTGGAGGTTGCGTTGGCTGGCATTTGAGCAGTAAACGTGAATACGTGTATTTTCTTCACTTTTTATAATTGATTAGATACTTCTGACGCTATGAGCTAGTCACTCGAAAATTCGACAATTGGGAGGAGGGCTCCGAGATCATTTAGTGTGGCTTTTGTTTATCGAACAAAATCTTACTTCTTACTTTGTTGAAGTTTTAAAATTATTTTTAAGCCACGGATCAAAGTTTTATCTTTTGAAGATATCGAAATTCTCTGGAATTTATTTCAGAGTTAAGAAGCGATCCGATTTCCTAGAATGGTGTTGTTTTTAGCAAAATCCTTGCTAATCTGGTTGCTTCACTGCATATATTAAATCTCACAAAAAGAACAACATATTTATTATAAGTCCTAACGTAACATATAATATATTTTGAGTTTATATTGATAACTTAATAATATATTATATTACTAGTATAAATGTATACGCGGCTGAAGGGCTTGGCTAATTAATACTTTTTTCTACGTCCGATGTTCTCGAGTAAAACATTCGAATATTTTTGGCAATATAATAAACCTGAGGCAATATTTATTATTGCCTTATAGTTATTGCCAGACACAGACACCAACAATGTTTTTGCTGGATTGGCGGAGGATCAGGATCTATACCCCGATATAATGTTCAGGGAGACTGTCGTAAATTGCAGTCAATGGTCCTCATCGAGGACGGCTTGGAGAAAGTGATAGAACTCGTTGACAGACGGCGGGGACGCATTGAAGAGGACTGGGAATTGACGAATACAAAAGTCACCTAACGTTCCAGACCCGTCTGGCAGCGGCCGAAGAGAACCCCATCCTGTTTGGTTCGAATGCATCCCACGAAAAATCCCTTTCGCCTTCCGTGTACGCTTTCCAAATATACGAAACTCGATTGTGATCAATGAACCGACGAGCAACAAGCCACTGCACGACGGAAACAGTGCTGCCGGATGCCATCGTTCGAATCACACGGAATTTCAGGGCTACCGTGTTTTCAGAATCTTCAATTCCATCGTAATCTTCGCGGTCGCACTGGCGCTGCCTGTACTTGAAAGGTTCCCAACAGCTCCATTGACTTGTCTCCAGATCGAAAGGAAGAGTAAACTTGTGCAAATTCTGATGGTACTTCAATTCACCACTCTCATCACACCAATGCATTGAGTTTTCGACTCCCGTAGGCATCACCAACAGACCACATCCATTCAGAATGTCGTCCATTTTGACACGGCACGACTCAATCTTTTGCAGTAGCGATGCAAACATAGATATATCGGCCGATTCGAGTCGATGGTCTGTTGAGTCTTTGATCACAGAGGTCCAGGCACTCTCCAGTGTAGCACTGTTTTGCTGTAATTGAAGCAGTCCATGAAGATTGTCAATGTATATCTCTTGAGTTTTTGCGGTCGTGGTGAGTCTTCTCTTCTCGGTCTCTGATCTGTGTCGTTCCTTTCGCTGCACAAGGGCTAATTCTTTCCAAATCGACCAGTGTTGACTAGGATTACGCTTCGCTTCTTTCGCAAGCTTCAGCATCTTCAGCTGATCGTCCAATTCACCATGCGCTCGTCGCAGTTTGTCGAGTTCATCTTTAATGCGTTGGCGTTGCTTCCGTCGGCGAAGTTTTTCTTTTTCACGGTGCATGTTCAACGCAATGACGGCGAGATCGCGCTCGTCGGCAGTGGTGTTGCTAGGTGGAGGATTTGTGGGGGATGAACTATTGGATACTTCATCGCAGGGGTCTAGAATCGTTAGCATGTCAGCGGCTGCACTTGATTCGCTTTCTTCGATACTGCTGAACAGGGAACTGGAGGGTGGGAAGCAGTTATCGAAGAAGTCTGCTGCCTCCTCAAAGAAGGCAGCATCGGACAGTATGTCAGTATTACCTGACAGCATTTCAAGAGGCTGTATGGCTTGTGACCAATGTGAGCACTTCGATAATGGTGGCCTCATACTGCCGTCAGACTGACATAGCCAGCGTGGAAGAGACAAATCCCCAATCATGCTTCATCAGGTGCACTACTATACTTAACTATTAATAATAGAAGACGTGAGCACAGCTCATTTTGATTTCCCAGCTTGGTGTGACTTAAAATCTTTATCCTTGATTGTGTCCAAGGAAAATCTTGAAAAATTCGCGCTCGGTGTAGACCGCTCCTGGACGGATCTGAGTTACAGTATGCGCTTCGGTCAGACCCATTCTGTTGCTTGGCAATTGCGTAGACATCGCTTCGTGTGTTGCTTCGCCGTGCATGACTAAGGCCCGTTCTCAACCGAGGCGTCAGAGGGACGCATGCGTTGCATGCGTACCCTAAACATCGCAATTCAAAATACTTGACTATCATTGGCAGAATAATAGCCAGTCATGTTGTGTTCTAGCAGTTCTAGCCTGCGCTAAACCGCTACCAAACTACTGGTAATTAACGAG